ATGTTTCCAACACAGATACATAAATGCAGGAGTTCCAGCTCCTCAATGTTGTATTTAACAGCTCAAACTCTGTAGCAAACCTCCCCATAGCGTGCCCAGCTGTTTTCTTGGAGGACCCCCCCCCCCAGTCCTGCGCCACCCTCCCAGGTGTACCCATGTGGCAGCCCTGGTGGCAGCGGCTGTGTTAATCCATCTCCTTGAGCGTCTCCTTCTAGTTTACTGTGCCGCCACTTTCCCAAGCCTGGAGTCCTTCTCCAGGGGCTGGTCCCTCTCAATAACTGTCCACAGGACAGGGGATGCAATCTTGCCATGCTGGCGTCTATGGAGCACGCTGCTGCACTTCTTCCAAGAAAGAGTGATTTGCTCCCTTGGCAGTCCATCGTGATACTTTTGATGTTCTTTGCCAGCACCATCATTCAAATGCATCCATCCTTCGCCTGTCTCCCTCAGTCTACGTCCAACTTTCACATGCACCCCTTTCATCAAAGTCTGTTTCTTTTCTTTTTTTTTGAAACTAGCTTGTGTGTCACAAAAGATTTCTAGTCCATTTCCTTTTTACTTTTCCTCAAGGTCTGTTTCTTTTGGCATGAAGAGCTCTTATTTTTATTTCCCTCCTTTTATAGCAAGGAGACAGCCACTCTGAATGGAAGCAGACAGCCCATCTTTCTCCCTCAGAGCGCTGGTGGGCTCCAACTGCCGGCCTTTCGGTTAGCAGACAGATGCTTAACCCGCAGTACTACCTGGGCTCCTTCGTTGACTCTCTTTAGTGGAAATCCTTGGCCGTAGGGCCTGCCCACATTCCAGAGGGACAGCAGGACAGAAAGACAAGAACAAGGACCGCATCCCTCACCAGATGCCAGTCCTTGTGCCGCATGACCCGGAGGAGCAGACAGGCACAGAGAAGGAAATTCATCTGCTCGAGACCACAGAGCTTCTAAGGGACAGAGGCAGAGCCCCGCCCAGACAGTCTGATCGTTCTGTAGCTTCTGCCCTTGACTCCCTGGCTAGGACCTTCTGGCAGGGGAGCTGGTGGGTCACTGGTGGAATTCTCACCATTCAGGGGAGGTTCCTGGCACTCCGTGAATGCCCCCCTCTCATTAGTCAGTGGAGGCTCTTGTGTTGCACTTCCAGACTGAGATGAACTAGGAAGAAAGGCCTGGTGTTCTACCTCCCAGAGTCAGCCAGTGACAGTCATGTGGATCACAGTGGTCTCATGTTCTTGGGACAGCTCAGGACTGGGCAGGGGTGTGTCTTTTTTCTGTCTGGGGCCTGGGGCCGCCATGCATTGGGCCCTGGCAGGATGGCAGCCATGCCTTGGCTATCTCTTATCAGAGCACGTGTGTTACTTTCATTCAGCTCTAGTGCCTATTCTAGAATAAAGCGGTTTCCTTTCTCTTCCACTTTTTGTGGAGAGGTTTGCTGGGTTGGCGCGAGAGTCTGTTTTCAATTGTTGATGGGGTATGGGTTACACGTGGGGCTGCTAACAGCAAGGTCAGCAGTTTGAAAAACCACCAACCACACCAAGGCAGAAAGACAGGGCTCTCTACTCCTGTGAAGAGTTACAGTCTCGGAAACCCTCGGGCAGTTCTCCCTGTCCTGTGGGGTCACGATGAGTCAGCATTGACTTGATGGCAGTGAGTTTGGGTTTTCCCCAAGAATACTACAGAGGGGTTGAGGACACTATTTTTCAACTTCAAAGCCAGGATCCACGAATAAGAGGCTTGGTGGCCCACTGAACCAAAACAAACAAGCAAAAACCCCCAAACAGAGCAAAACAAAATACCACTGCTATAGAGTTGACTTTGACTGTAGATCTTTACAGCCTCATCTTTCTTCCAGGGAGCGGATGGTGGGTTTGAACCACTGACCTTACGGTCAGCTGCCCATTGCTTATCCTACAATGTTATCAAGCCAAATGAAGTGATGTGGAAATGTAAAACTGCAGTTCCCCTATCTCTAGAGAGCTCTTTGGGGAAAGACAAGACTGTGTGCTTCTGTAAAGACTTAGAAAAATCTATAGGGTGAATCTGCCTAGACCGGAGAACACACATTAGTGCAGATAAGAGCTCTCGACACATGGAACTCAGGACAGATAAACCCCTCAGGAACAGTTGTGGGAGTAGCAATATCATGAGGGTAAGGGGATGGTCAGGGAGGGGGAAAGGGGAGAAAGGGGGAATCCATCACAAGGTTGGATAGATAACGTCTCCCCTCCCCCCTGCAAAGGGGATGAATAACAGAAATGTGGGTGAAGGGAGACAATGGACAGTGCAAGATACTAAATAATAATAACAATATATCAAGGATCAAGGATTCTCGAGGGTGGGGGGATGGGGAGGGAGGGGAAAAAAGAGGAGCTTATACCAAGGGCTCAAGATGGCAACCTATGCAAAATATGTAAAAATATGCTTGATATAATTGATGTATGGGATGTTATGAGTTGTAAGAGCCACCAATAAAATGATTTTAAAAAATCTATAGGGTTGCTGGGGGAGCCCTGGTGGCCCAGAGGTTAAGTGTTGGGCTGCTAACCACCAGGCCAGCAGTTCAAACCACTGCAGCTCCAAGGGAGAAAGATGAGGCTTTCTGTTCCTGTAAAGCGTTACAGTCTCCGAAGCCTTGCTGGAATTAACTCGATGGCAGTGAGTTATAGAACTGCTGTAACATGGAATCTGAATTGTGGTAATGGCAAAGAATGCTGACAGCATCATGGACCGCCAGGAGAACCGACAAATCTGTGTTGGAAGTACAGCCACTATGCTCCTTAGAGCCTCACGCACGCTGGACAGGTTGTCAGGAGAGGCCAGTCCAGGGGAAGGACAGCATGCTTCGTAACGTGGAGGGCAGTGAAATAGAGGCAGGCCCCCAAGGACGGGTGGATACGGTGGCTGCATCCATGCACTCCAACTTAGCAACACGTGTGAGGGTGGCGCAGGCCTGGGCAGC